TATATGGATATATATATGAGTGTTTCTTTACTTTTGAATCAAAGTTTTAAAAAAATAAAACAGGCACTTGAAAAATATGATTGCATTTCAGGTGTCAATTCATATATGTTCTACTATAATGAGTGCCTACATTAAAATAAATGGTAGAAGCTAAATTAGCATCTCTCTTTGTGTTAGATGAAAATCGCTGTACAATAATGAATATTATTTATAGCATTCAAATCACAGACTTCTTAGAAACAATTGTTAAAATTATCTTTAAACACAGGTCTCTCATCTTGAAAAGGACAGTGAGGAAATAAATCAAGCTTCTCAGTTTAGTCAATATGTTCAAGAAACAGGTAAGAGTCTTATGTTATTGGCCACAATATCTTTTTCCTCTCAATGTGCCTGAGGCTTGAATGGAGGACTTGACTTCCAAAGCGCAGTCTTTCCCCTGAGTAACTTTAGTAACTCTGACTCATAGTCCTAAATAAGGAAGGTCAGTGTTTCTTCATATAAGTAGGTTTTGCCTGTGGTAATTAGATGCTGTGCCTTTCTAAAATATCCATTGCCCATTATCCTATCATGCATTTATCCTAAAGCCCCAAATGGTAAGGTAGTAACTTTTGGATTTTTTTTTTTTTTTTTTTTGCCTCAGAGACCTACAATAAAATGTGATGTTTATTAAGCTCTCTGAGAACAGCATCACCTAGATTACATTAATTTAATAACAGGTTTATGTATTATTTCAAGTTCTCCAACCTAGAGACATACTACAAACATTTTCTATATTTTCATAAGATAAAGCACAGTTGTCTTGCTTATAAAAAGGGAAAAAGCTTTGCTGCTCTGAAGAGATGAAAGGAAAGATTTAATCCACCTCTAACAAAACATTGCTTGAGTACCATAACTATATCTTTATTTTGTTCTTCATTGTTTAAGAAAGTAGGCCTTCTTCTATTCTTTTATTGTATCACTTTTATTATTTTTTGCTGAGCATAGAAATAGAACATGCTTACAGAAATTTTGGAAAATAGCAAGGACCCAAGTTCAATCCCCGGTACCAAAAAAACAAAAAACAAACAAACAAACAAAAAAAAAAAAAACCAAAAAAAAAAAAAAACAGGAAAATAGTCCCATCTAGACAGAAGCACCCACATTTTATTTTTCTTCCCATACTTCATGTTACATTCCTAAATTATATAATGAAACAAGGCCAAAGGCATGAATTGTCCTTTGAATCATATATATAATGAGAAGTTTCCCATAGCATCACAATTTAACTGAAGCATAACTTTTATTCATTATATATCCCTGGTGTTCTCTTCCATTGTAGTCATTGACACACCTGATGATGAAGAGATTCCTAAGATTTCAACTAAGATTTTAAAAGAGCAGTTTGAAAAGTGTGCCCAGGAAAAGGTCCTCTATTCTGACAAAGAGACAAGAAACCCAGCTAAGCAGATTAAGGTAATGTAATTTCTCTACACAGAAATATATTAAGTGTAAAATTAGATGTAAATGCATAAACTTTTTTTAAGTCAATGAATATTGGACTTTTTTTCAGTAGCAACAAGATTTAAAATATCCTAAACTATCTTGTATTCTGTTTCAGCAGGAAAATTTTGACCTATCTAAGAAAGAATTAGTGTAAAACCTTTCCTTGCTAGAGTAAATGAGGGAAGAAAAAACACGTATGCTCTAGAGTATACAACACTAGCTAAAGTAACAAAGTCAAATTTAAATGTTAGGTGCTTACTCTGTTCTGTTTAAAATTCCCAGGAAAACAAAAACAACCCTCAAAAGTGCTTCAAGACTTTTACTGATTTCCCTGTAGAAAAGGGGAGAAAAGTAAGAGTATGTACAAATATTAAAACTAAGAGTCACTCATACATTGAATGGGTAATATAATTTATTTATAATAAAAATAGATTATGCGAAAGATAATAACAAACACTGAATACTACTCCTAAGTGGGTCTTTAAACGGAGTATTTTGGCTGTTTTTCCCAATGCAGATGCCACAGCCGAGTCCTGGTTACAGACAGATAAAAGTCAGTGCCTAGGAAGCCTTCACCACTGTATTAATCCTTATAAGCTTTTTCTCTCCCTAAAGATTGAAAGTGAACATGAAGAAACTACAAAGCCAACATCAGTTGTGGGCACTTCTTCCTCTTCTTATACTTCAGCTAGTCAGAGGAAGCAAACGTCAACCTCAACATATAGTGACCATAATGCCACTTCCTTGACCCTGGCACACGTTAATGCCATTTCTTCAGGAGATACAGAAGAATTTCCACCTCCTCCACCTGACATACTGCAAACCCCAATGGATGTGACAGCATTTTCCCAGTCCCCTGAATTCCCTACCCCTCCTAGAAGACTACCAGTCCCCAAAGATGTCTATGCCAAACAAAGAAATTTGTATGAATTAAACCGTTTATATAAACACATTCATCCTGAGTTAAGGAAAAACTTAGAGAAAGATTATATCAGTGAGGTTTCTGAGATTGTTTCTAGCCAAAAGAACACAGGGAGCTCAGTTTCAGCAGATGTGCAACATGCCCGATACGTGTTTGAAAATGCAAATGATAGCTCTCAAAAAGACCTGAACTCAGAAAGAGAATACTTGGAATGGGATGAAATTCTGAAAGGGGAAGTGCAATCTATGAGATGGATCTTTGAGAATCAGCCATTAGATTCCATCAATAATGATTCTCCAGATGAAGGTAACAATTCCAAGGGCATTGCTGACCAAGAAGTCATTGCTGGTGGCGATGTGAAGTACACAACATGGATGTTTGAAACTCAACCCATAGATATACTGGGGGTCACTTCTTCTGGCACTGGAGAAAATGCTGACAAAATTCCCGAGCTGGCCCGAGGAGATGTTTCCACAGCCCGGTGGATGTTTGAAACAATGCCATTAGACTCAATGAATACAATGCATCAAAATCAAGAAGAATCAGCATCAACAGTTACTAGGGACATAACTGGGGGAGATGTCAAGACTGTGAGATACATGTTTGAGACTCAACATCTGGATCAACTTGGACAACTTCATTCAGTGGACGAGGTTAATTTACTGCAGCTCAGGTCTGAACTCAAAGAAATTAAGGGAAATGTTAAGAGAAGTATAAAATGTTTTGAAACCCAACCACTCTATGTTATCAGAGATGGTTTAGGTCAAATGCTAGAAATCAAAACTGTTCACAGAGAAGATGTTGAAAAGGGGGATGTAAGAACAGCACGTTGGCTGTTTGAAACACAGCCTTTAGACACAATTAACAAGGATATCAAGGAAATTAAAGTTATCCGAGGAATATCCATGGAAGAAAATGTCAAAGGTGGTGTGGGTAGAGCAAAGTGGTTATTTGAAACCCAACCTTTGGACAAAATTAAGGAAGAGTTAGGAGAAGTCATCATTGAAAAGGAAACAATAATAGGCACAGATGTCTCCAAAAAGTGTTGGATGTTTGAAACACAGCCATTAGACATTCTGAAAGAAGTTTCTGACACAAATCCTGTATCACCTGAAGAGATAATAGGGGGCAATGTACAAACTACTAAGCATCTATTTGAAACACTTCCACTGGAGGCTTTAAAAGATAGTACTGATGTAGGAAAGCTTCAGAAAATCACCACCTCTGAAGAAGAAAAAGGTGATGTTAGGCACCAAACATGGATTTTTGAAACCCAACGATTGGAAGAGATTAGAGAAGATAAAAAAGAATACACACGAACTGTGAAACTCGAAGAAGTTGACAGGGGAGATGTCAGGAATTATACGCACATCTTTGAATCAAACAATTTAATTAAATTTGATGCATCACATAAAATAGAAGTGGAAGGAGTCACAAGAGGTGCTGTGGAGTTAAATAAATCTCTCTTTGAAACTATGCCACTTTATGCCATTCAAGATCACCTTGGAAAATACCATCAAGTAAAGACAGTCAAGCAAGAAGAAATCCTAAGAGGTGATGTAAGAAGCTGTAGATGGCTTTTTGAAACAAGGCCCATTGACCAGTTTGATGAAAGCCTTCATAAATTTCAGATAATTAGAGGAATATCTGCTCAAGAAATACAGAGTGGAAATGTTAAATCTGCTAAGTGGCTATTTGAAACCCAACCTCTTGATTCAATCAAATATTTTAGTAACACGGATGAAATAGAAAATAAAACTGGACAAGCTACCGATACTGTTAAAGGGGATGTCAAAACCTGTAAATGGCTGTTTGAAACACAGCCAATGGAGTCTCTTTATGAAAAAGTTTCTTTAATGACTGAAAATGAAGAAATTCATAAGGGAGATGTCAAAACTTGCACATGGCTCTTTGAAACTTGGTCACTTGATACCATAAAAGATGATTCTGAAACAACAGTTAAATCACAAACTGTAAAACAGGAGGAAATCCAAGGTGGGGATGTTCGTGCAGCATGTCTTCTTTTTGAGACGGAAAACTTGGACAGCATTCAAGGAGAGGAAGGGAAGGAAACTAAGACTGTGGAGACAGATATCCAAGCTGGGGATGTCTCCAGTATGAGGTATAAATTTGAAAATCAATCTTTAGACTGTATAAATTCCAGTTCAGAGGAAGTTTTGCAAAAGATCAAGACACTAAAAGCTGAAGATATTCAGAAAGGCAGTGTTTTAAATTGTAGATGGCTCTTCGAAAACCATCCAATTGATACGATAAAAGAAAGCCAAGAAAGTGAGGGATTAGTAAAGACAGTGACAGACATACAAGGTGGAGATGTGAGAAAAGGGTGCTTTATCTTTGAGACTTTTTCTTTAGATGAGATTAAAGAAGAGTGTGACTGCATCAGAACCAAAAAAACAGATACTGAAGAAGTGATAAAGGGTGATGTAAAAAGCTACAGAATGCTCTTTGAAACCCAGCCACTCTATGCAATTCAAGATCACGAAGGGTATTATCATGAAGTAACAACAGTTAAAAAAGAAGAGGTAATTCATGGAGATGTACGAGGAACGAGGTGGCTTTTTGAAACAAAACCATTAGACTCAATTAATGAATCACAAATGGTGTATGTTATTAAATCTGTTACACAAGAAGACATTCAGAAGGGGGATGTTAATTCTATCAGATACAGATTTGAAACACAGCCACTAGATCAAATCTCAGAAGAATCACATAAAATTGTGCCCACCTTGGACTACATTGAAGGTGGCAATGTGAAGACGAGCAAACAATTCTTTGAGTCTGAAAATTTGGGGAAGAACACTTACATAAGAACTGTAAGTGTCAATGAAATACAAAAAGGCAATGTTAAGACGTCTATGTGGCTATTTGAAACTCACGCTATGGAAGAGCTGAGAGGAGAAGGGTCAGAATATGAAAATATCAAGACAGTTACTCAGGAAGATGTGCAAAAGGGCGATGTTAAGCAGGCAGTATGGCTATTTGAAAATCAGACTTTGGATTCAATTAAAGATGCAGATGAAAGCGTTACAAAAATAGCCAAGGAAGAAATCCCACCTTCTGATGTCAAGACAACCACATGGCTCTTTGAAACAACACCTATTCATGAATTCAATGAAAATAGAGTACAAAAGGTAGAAATTATTGGCAAGAGCATTAAAGAAACCTTGAAAGAGCTCTACGCTCAAAAAGTTATTGAGGCTCCTGGAATTATCATTGAAACTGATGAAGTTGGGGACATCCGAATGGCTAAATATAAGCTAATGAACCAAGAATCTCCTGAGATACAGAAAGAAGAAGTTGTTAAGGCTGATATTGGAAATATAATGATGAACTTACTTTCCAAAAGGGACTGCACCAAAAAAGAGATCATGGTTAGTGAAGAAGAGAAGGGAAATGTTAATTTAACTAAAACTCAATTATTAAACAGATCAACTAAATTTCACGCTGAAAAAGAAGAGATAGTGAAAGGCGACGTGCAGCAAGCAATAAAAAACCTGTTCACAGAGGAGAAGTCTGCAAAGAAAGGCATCTTAATCCAGGAAGATGAAAGAGGAGACATTAACATGACCATCTACTGTCTTCTTCATGAAAATACTGGTGATACAGTGAAGCGTGAAGAAGTAGTAGGAGGGGATGTAAGAAGCACCATTCACACTTTGTTGTCTTCTGCATCAAACAGTGCAATATCTGAGAAGTCTAAAATTGATGCCTGTGAGAGAGGAAATGTTCAATTTTTCACAACATGCATAGAAACTGGAGCTTTAGATTACCTCAAACAACTTCACACAGGGTCACATGAAACAGTAGCAGGGAGGAAAAGAGAAAGTGAAGAAATACTTGGGGGTGATGTTGAGGGCACAAAGTTGTTACTAAAGAAAAGGCAGTCTCAGGCTGAACATACAGTTAATGAAACCGACATCTTTCCAGGAGATGTGCATAATATGGTTAACGTTTTTATGACAGAGCCTCCCACTACATCTTCTAAGACAACCAAAGAAGAAATTATAGCAGGTGACTTAAAATCAACCCTAAAGTCCCTCAGCCAGGACATAAGCCAGAAAACAATGACTAAAACAGAAGAAATAAAGGAGGACATGCTGGCTACCTCCAAGTCACTTAGAGAGTCAAAGCAGCAATGGAAAGAACCTAAACAACCGGATGTCATCCCTGGTGATGTGGAGAAAGCAATTGAATGCCTTGAAAAAGCTACAAATATAAGAACTGAAATTCTAAAAAAGGAGCTTATTCAAGATGACCTTAAAAGATCATTAAGGTCTTTGAAAGAAGCACAAAGAGGTTTCAAAGAGGTAGATAAAGAAAGCACAATCAAAAGAGATGTCCATGCTGAAATGGTAAGATCCTCAAAAGAGCAGAAAACAGAGATTCATCAGGTGGCTATTCAGAAGGACAACAAAAGCGTTCTTTGGCCAAGGCCAGGACCACTTGGCCAAGAAAGTCTCAGCCAAATTGATGGTAAATCTTGTTATGGGACTTCTATGAAAGAAAGAAATGGCCTTAATCTTCCAAAAGCCCCCAAAGGCACTGTAAAGATTGTCATAGATCGTGAACAAAATAATGATGCTCTTGAGAAAAGCCTTAGAAAACTTTCTAATTCCTACCAAGAAGGTGTGAGAAATGTGTTGGAAACAGGCCACAGAATGGGTGTCTGGACTGATGCCACCAAAGAAAAGCAGCTGAGAGATGAAGGCAGAAACAGGCAATTAACTTCAGAGGTGGCAAGGAAGGAAAATCTAAAAACTGAGGAATCAGAAACAGTAAGAGAACTAAAGAAGGAAGATATCTTAAAGTCCACCCAATCGACTGAGAAAACACTTGGAAAGCACCAGATTCAAACCTGTGAACTGAGAAAGGACCACCAGAAGACTGAGGCTTTCCATGAAACAAGTCCTAAAAAGACCAGAAACATTAAAATACCAGCAGAGATGCAAAGTTCCACACCCAGTCCCTCCCAGCATCTGTTTAACACGCAAGTTGGAGAAACATATGAAGTTACAAAAGATTTTCAGAAGCAAACTATGCAAAAGCAAGAAATACACTATCCTAATGAGGATATAAAGAAAAATAACATGAACTTTCATCCTTTTCCTGTAGATCAAAACACATCCAATGTAACAAAAGAGAAAGTCTCTGAAGAAGGTCACAATAAATTCAAAGCAACTGACAAAGAACAGATAACTGATGTTTATCAGGAAAGCCAGGACTTTTTAATGAAGACAAATACTTCCAAAGATTTAAAAATGGCAATGGAAAGGTCCTTTAATCCGATCAATTTTAACCCTGAGTTTAATGTAACAGAAAGCGAATGCAGCCTCCCACCTCCATCCCCACCTCCTCCTCCACCCTCCAATGCACCCTCTGAAATTGAATTCCCTCTTCCTCCTCCACCTCCTTTAATGCTGTTGCCTGAAAAAGATGAGTTCCCTCCTTCACCATCCACAGCGAAGATAAAGGCTGAATTCAAAAGCTTTCCAGGCCTCCCTTTTCCTCCACCAGCAGTAGATGAGCAATCTGAAAGAGAATGTCTATCTGAGTTTATACCACCTCCACCTCCTGCAACTCCATTTCAAAACTCAGCCCATCTTTCCTCCTCTGTTCCAGAAAAACACAGTGAAGCATTCATCCAACAATATTTCCAGAAAGAAGCCACAAGCCCTGAGAAAATTTGTTCTCATGCTAAAATCCTAACAGGAAAATTGCCACCTCCCACATTGCCCAAGCCTAAATTTCCCAAACTAATCAAAGATAAAAAGAATCAACCTTCTCCTAAAGGTGAATTAGAAAGTTTCCTATCAGATATGGAATATAAAACTACTCCCTTACAATACCAGGAAAGAGCAATGGTGAAAACGAGCAGGGAGCACACAGACACAAAGCAAGATTTATCCAGGAAAAGTCTTGATGAAATAATACAATTTTCTGTGGATTCTAAGTCTGTCTCACCAACAACTCCAGAAACTTTACCACTCAAGGAAAAACAGATAATACCTCTCATAAAATCTCACTCATTTCCAGAAAATTCAGGTCAACAGAGTCCAAAACCTTACATGAGAAAATTTAAAACACCTTTAATGATTGCTGAAGAAAAATATCGACAACAAAGGGAAGAGCTTGAAAAACAAAGAAAGGAAAGTACTTGCCACAACATTGTCAAAATAGAAAGCCAAAATCAAAAGATTTCAGAGTTGGAAAAGGAAATGCTGTTAGAAAAAACAAACAAGGACACACCCATGTTCAGAATGGATTCAGAGCTCACTGTGGTCCAACCCAACCCAAGTGCTCACAGAAATGCTCAAATTTCAGGAGCATGCTTTGACTGTGAGCTTTTGACAACATCAGCAGAGACAGTCACGACCGATGGACACCAGCATGTTGTAGCAACCTCGGAAGACAAGAACAACATGAAAAAGGAAGTTTTGCAGAGTTCAAGGGATATTAAACAATCTAAATCAGCTTTTGAAATTAACCAGAGTCACCAGGAATATAGCACACAGCAAACACAACAGAAGTGTGTGGAGCCATCAAACTTGCAGCAGGGCAAACCAGCTTCCCCAAGTTTCAAAGTAAAAACCATCAAGCTCCCAACAACTCTGGAGCAGACATTGAATAAAACAGACCACAGCTATGAAAGCCATGTGAAACAATCTGCAGTTGATGTTCAAACCGTTACCAAACAACAGCATAAAGAAAGTGAGAAAACGGAAGCACATACAGAATATAGTAATAAGCAATCTGTGGCTGAACATTTGTATGAGCTCCCTAAGAAGGAGAAAAGGGTGACAATACAGATGCCTACAGAGTCTGCAGAAAACAGCCATGAAAATAAGCTCAGGATAGTTCCTGAGAAGCAAAGAGTACATAGGGAATCTGACAGAGAGAAGCATTTAGGGTGTGGAGAAAAAAGTCAGGTGATCAGCTCAAATGAGGAGAGGTTAATAGTTGAAAGAAAACAAGGATATATGAGGAATAAGTCCGCACCAGAGGTAATCAAGCCAAAGGTTATTGATACACATCTGGATTCACAGACTCAGAATTTTCAGCAAACATATACACAGAGTTTTGAAAGTGGAGTTGAACATAAAGAATTGTCCTTGCCATATAACAGTGTGCAGGAAAAGAAATGTCTCCGAGACAAGGGCATACAACAGAAACAAGCCTTTTCTAATACTAAAGATTCAAGGCAAGAGATTTCACAGAACAAATCTTCATTTTCCTCTGTGAAAGAATCTCAGCAGGATGATGGAAAATGTGCCGTAAATATATTGGAGTTCTTGAGAAAACGTGAAGTACTACAACAGATTTTGTCCAGGGTAAAACAGTTTGAAGTAGAGCCACATAAAAGTGGCCTTAAAACATTTCAGACACTGCTAAATATTATTCCTGTATGGCTGATAAGTGAAGAAAAAAGAGAATATGGATTTCACATCGCCACAGAGAGTAATTTAGAGAAAGTCAAAGAAGAAATAACACATATTAAAACTCAAGCAGAGGATATGCTTGCATACTGTGAAAATATAATTCATACAGCCATGATAGCCTCCCAAACAGGAAGGCAGGGAAATAAGCTCACTACTCTTAATGAGACATCATCCAGTGTTTCTAGTACTAATGCAAGCTGTAGTAAAAGCGCTGAACAGAAAGAAAATAAAGTTGTAAAAGAAAAAATAGTGCACCACCAAGTAGCAACTCACAATGAAGCAACTGCTCAAAATTATGCAAAAGCCCATCAAGAAATTAATGTAGATGACAGCCAGAGGTCTCCTCCCTCTTTAAAAACTCGACCACCATCACCTACTTTTATAACAATTGAATCTTCTGCCCGACGAACAGAAACTCCCACCAAAGATGAGCTTTCTCAGTCCCCTATAAAGGACGGTTGTGCTGAACTCCCCCCAAGAAGACCCATGTCACATATAACTAAAATTCACAGAGCAAATACTTCCCCTTCTCCACCTAGGAGTCGCTCTGAACAACTTATCAAACTAAAAGACACCACTACAAAGTTATCCAGAGGGACCATCCCATGTACAACAGTAACCCCCGTTCCAATTGTAGAGAAGAGGTCTGAGATCATCATGTCTCCAGCATCACTTCGTCGTCAAATTAAGATAGAAAGTCGTGGTAGAGACTCTCCGTCTACCATCACAATACCTGTAGGAATAAATCATGTCAGCAGCGGTTCCTACAAAGAGTCCATGCAAGCCCAAGAGGAAGTTAGGAAAGTAGAGAAAAGAGCAACATATGTTCATAAAGATGGAGCAGATTCCATTAATGACAGAATTCCTGACACTGAAAGTTATGATGCAGTGGAAATCATCCGCAGAGTGGATGTGCCCCGCCTGTCAGAACGCCCCCAGAGGTATGAAGCAGCCAATCGGACGGTTCAAATGGCTGAAAGTTTCATGAATGATCACAAAAGTGAAATAAACAAATGGTTCAGGGAGTTTGAGGAGGATCCAGTTTTTGAAGCAAAATCACATAGAAGAGTTTATACAAATGGAGATGTAAATCATGACGTAAAGCAGGAAAGTCATATGTTCTTTCAGGAGGAATTCGGATTACCATCCTTAGGAAACACTGATTTTACAGGCTTTCCCTACAGACATCCTAGAGAGCTCCAACAGCCCAGAATACACTCTGAAACAAGGTCTCTAAGTGAGCATATCTCGGGCATGGATGCCTTTGAGAGTCAAATTGTTGGGTCGAAGGTGGCATCCTCATCATCACACAGCTCAGAAGTGGGCAAATCTGGCTTTGACTTCAAGCATGCCCCGCCAACCTATGAAGATGTCATTGCTGGCCATATTTTAGATGTCTCTGATTCGCCTCAGGAACTGAGGAAGAATTTTCAAAAGACATGGCAAGAGAGTGAAAGAGTTTTTGAAAGCCTGGGGTATGCAACCTCAGATGCTTCTGCCACTGAGATGAGCAGCACCATCCAGGAAGAATCTGCATTTATAAGTGGTAAATGAGCTTGAAAAGTGTGAAGGAAGATTAACTCATTTAAAAGCATGTTCCAAACCCAACATGATTGCAGTGGAAATAACCAAATAATATAATCTAAAACTAACTGTTTCCCTTGTAGGCTTCTTTTTTACTATGCCTGATTTTTAATTATTTTTATTATTATTTATTATTTTTTATTTCTTTTCACAAAAGCATCTAGTACACCATGATCCACTTGTACTATATAAGGATAATACAAACTTCTCTGTCAATTATTGAAACATATTTGTCACAGTAAATAAAACTCTGGATAAAGAAACAGATATAATAATTGTTTGATAGTATTAATAATCTCATCACTGTACATGTATTAATTGGAAAACAATACATTATTAATATTTTTTAAAAGTCATCTCATGCAATTGTTTTAGACAATATTGGATAACACCTTTTAGCTAAATACTTAAGTCTTTTTAACTGCATAGTAAAGTGGTCACTACATTAAATTCAGTGCAGTCCAGTAGTAACCCAAGAAACAGCTCACATTCTTTATAAGTGCTTTAAGGATTTTTATTGATCTGTAAATGTGACAAAAATATAGATATGGAATAAGAACTTTTAAATATCTAATTATTATTACTGAGTTTGAATTAGCTTTCTCTGGTGCCATATTTTTTTTCTACAACTGATTTTTCCACCTTTCTGAAAATGAACCCCATGACAATTCAATTGACTTCCTTCACAGATGGAAAGAACAACACATCTTATAATTTGATTTTATTTGTAAGGAAGGAGATTTAAATCATACAAACTTAATACATATTTTTGAGCTTCAGAAAATAACTCATTTCATTAAGTCTTCCCTACTTTTTCTAATTAGTGAGGCTTCATGATAAGATTTGACATAATTAATGTGCAACATTAGTGTAGTCCGTTCTCTTAGATAAACTGAAAAAAGAGCAAGCTTAAAAATAAAAACTGCTGAAACTAATAATTATGCCTATATCATATTTTCAACATATGTGTCTAGTTTATCAGGTTAATATGGTTTCTTAATGTGTTTGTTTATGGCATAATAAGCAAAGCTGTCTAATTAATTTCAAATGCTGCTTTTTTCAAGATAGCTTAAAAAAAAAAGAAACTGGTGTTAAATATAGAGATGTGTCCACACTAAACCCCAAAAAGCAGAAGATTCATAATGTAGGCCCTAAAGTATGTTTGATCTTGTTTTTTGTTTGTTTGTTTGTAGAATGCATATTTGAGCATATTTGCTCTTATATGTGACTAACACAATTTATATGAAACCTTTATCCTCGCAGAGTTGTTCCAAGAACCAGTACAAGTGAAATTGCTGTGTCAATCTGAACCAATATACAAATACTGGGTAGTAATGTAACCACTATTCTTTATAGGGACTGACACCCTGAAGAAAATCAGGAAGTGACTGTAAGTACTGAGAGTAGTAAGGAAAGTATAGAAAGCAGATGTGAGGTTCCACATAGCTCTAAAATCTAAAACCATTAAATAAAAAATGTTTCTGAACATTTCAAGGTATTCCAGTCTTGTTGTATTACAGAAAAGAGTTGGTGTCATAGAATCAACCCTAAATTGTTAAGAAAATAAACACTAGTCCTTTGCCTGAGTCACAGTTGACAAAATTTTTTCCCACAATATAGGTTGTCTCATATTGGTGGTTTCTTTTATTGTGCAAAAGGTTTTTATTTTTTTTTCTCATCGAGTTTATTAGTACATTTTAGATATACAATACAGTTACATTCATCACGGGGATCTTGTACCTTTTCAAGACAGGTCTTGGTTCTCATTTTTTCCCCTTATCCCTGCCCTCCCTTCACCCCCTCCTCCCTTCCCTATCTACAAATACTTTACTTCCATTTTTTAATTTTCTCACGTTTCCTTTCCTTTTCCCTTATTACCTTTCCCCTACACTTCCCACTTCTCCTATACCTTTAGCTCTTTTCTTCCTATTTTACATTGTCAATTATATCATTAGGATCTTATGTACCATTATAGTTTTTCACACCAGAGAAACTACTCAGGAAAAAAAAAATGTTGCAAGATGTATCATACACAGGTACAAATTTCCTCTGAAGCATGTTATCATTATGTAAATTTAAAATGTATCAATAAAATAAGTTAGATAAAGAAACACTACACAATGTCTTTGGCTTAAAAATTTTTTTTGTACTTCAAAAAAAATGTTTTCAGAATGCTTTAAAAATCTTTGGACCAAGTTAGATATAATGTTTATATGTATGGAAAGTTTGACTATCTATAGTGAATGAAAAGGTTCCTTGGGATCGCCTCCCTCCCCAATGGCTGTTTACTATCGATATTTAACATGGTACAGTGAATGGACATTTTTACTTTTACTTGTACTTGTTTGATGCAATAATAAAAGTCAATTTGTACAATGTGTAAATAGTAGAGGTATTAGAGTAATATTAATAATTGTACTAGGCCCTTAAACCTGATGAAAGTAGAGGCTATATTCAGCAAAGCAATAGAAAGACAATAGCCTTAGAGGTTTCCATTTCAACTGCATGGCCAGCTAATGCTGTTGCTGGTTTTGTCATTTTTTAATAATGTGATTGAAAATAATACTATATAAGCCTTTGTAAATTTTTATTTTTAGAAACCGCTGCTCCAAGACAAGGAAATATGTACACTTTGTCAAAAGACAGTTTATCCAATGGAATGCCTAGTAGCAGACAAGCAGAGTTTTCATAAGTCCTGCTTCCGATGCCAGCATTGCAACAGTAAACTGAGGTAAAATGTTTTGTGGGCTGTGGCACTAATATTCAAAGCGCCTGAAGTGTATGCACAGCACTGTGTCTATACAGGCACAGAATTCTTCAGATCTTGCTGCTACCATCAGTCAAAACAACGATACAACTGGATGTGTTTATTTTTTTAATCAATTGCTATGAGCTTTTTCCTTTCAGAATTTTGCTTTCCTAATCCAATCCAGAGGATGCCTTTTGATTCAAGCAGAGAAATCTCACAGATAAGAACAGTTGAGCATTACTCACATATCAGGATTTCTGCATTAATATTTTAGTCCAAAGTCTACATTAGGAGTCAGTAACTGTTCTATAAAGGGCCAAGATAGTGAAACTAGTGAACAAGTTTCACTTTGCAAGGTGTGTCAGTCAGTTTTCCCACTGCTAAGACACAGTACTAGCACAAGCAACTTCATAAAGGAGAAGCTTAATTTGGCTCATATTTCGAGGGGATTCTGCCTATAATCAGCTGGTTCCAAGGCAGGAGCATCATAGTGCAATGGCGTGGTGGTGGAGCAAAGCTGCTTGATACATAGCAGCTAGGGAGAGGTCAGAGGACCAGTGCCACAGAAAAAGGAGCCAGGAATCAGAGACAGCACTCAAAGTAGTGCTTCCCCAACCTACACTGGCACACCCGGAAGGGTGCTTCAGCAATCTGTTAGAGGGTTCCTAATGCGGCCAAGGTAACATCAGAATCAAGGCTCCCACAGGTTGCACTGTTTTTGTCAATACTCACTTTTCACTCAAGTGCAAGAGCAACAAATACTGGAGCACCAGTGTGGCTATAAATGAGTGTGTTGGCTGTGTGCCCGTAAAAACTTCATCTGCCCAAACAGGTGTTACTTTTGAGTTTGCCTAGGTTTGAGGCAGTGTACTGAAGCTTAAAAAGAAATTTAGAATACATTCCAAGATGGAAAAACAGCTCTGTTTATTCTCTTACAGCCATAGAAGGACACTATCGGCACAATTATCTAGGCTCTCATTCTCCACAGCTCTTGAAGTAAATGCATTTAAACGAATGTGGCATTTGGTTTTGCTGGAGTTTGGGACGCAGAAGTTAGATTTATTTTGCTGAATCTAATGAGAATTTCCCAGAATATAACTTTTCTGGCTTTAATTGACAATGTCAAACACCCCTCGTTGCAGCACTTTTTTTTTTCTCTTGATTTCCATGACAACACATTATACTGCATTTTCTTCTCCCTTCCCTTCTGAGTGTTCCTTTTCAGGCAACTGTGTAGGTGACTCTTTCTCTCTCCATCAGTACAATGCTAGGAGTTCTTCAGAATTCTGATATAGGAATACATTTTTGTTACTTGTTCTATTCTTTCCGAGGAATCCCATCCATTTCTATGACTCAAGTTATCATCCCTGTGATAATGCTTCTGAACTCTCTAACCCAGATCTCTCATTTGTGCGTCAACTCTCAATAATGAGACTATTTCTCTGATTAGATTTTTCCATAAGAACAGCCAAGTCAATATGATTCATTTTCTTTTCTCCATCAGAAATTACCTTTCTGACTGTGTAGTCCACATGCCACCATACAAGTATATGACATTGAGTGACTACTACATAAAGTTATATTTTGACTTCTTCCTCTCCTTCATTCCCTACATTCAAGCCATTACCAAGCCCTGTAATTTATTCCTCATAAATATGTACTTTTTGTTCCATCCCCATAGCACAGCTATTTTTCAGGCATTTATTGTCTCTCACTTGGACTCCTGTAACATCCTTGTGGGTGGTTTGTCTCTGATCATCAGCATTTCTTTCCACCATTTAAAAAAAAAAACTGTCTCATTCCTTTGCTCCATAATGTGGTGAAATTATCTTCCTAAAATGTAAATATGAGGTACTTACCTATTTAAAATCTATAATAGCTTCCCCTTTCCAAGACATCTAAAAAGGAAACATGAATGAAAAGGCAATTCAGGATCAGGCCCCGTGATGCTAACGCCTCTCTGTATCATCACTTTATCCTGTTTGCATATTACTTTGCATGCAGACTGAATTTCTTTGCGTTCCCCCAAGTCATCACTTCTCTTTCTCATAGGTAGCTGGTCCCAAATGTCATCCTACTCCTTGGAGGTTTCTCCCATAACTCTCCTCCACAGATCTGTTTGGCTAAGGTCCACTCATTCTTCAGACCATTCTTCATGACACTATGTCATCCGTGAGACTTCCTTTGACCCCCAGGAGGGAGTCAACTGTGTTTCCCTATGCTCCTATAAAATCCCCTGTGCTTGTCCTGTTCTTAACACAGCATAACTGTCCTTAGCAATTATTGTGTTCATATTTGCCTTGCAAACATGTAGTAATCAATGACATATGACAAGGACCCCAAAATATGGATTCAAAGACTGATTGATATATATTGATTCACAGATACAAAAAAATCAAACAAACTAAATATATGGTTTAATAAATTATTATGAAGTGAACACTTTGTGACCACTACCAAGGTCAAGAAATCCAGCTTTGCAGCCATACTGTAATCCTCTATTATGAATTAGTCCCAATCACAATCACCTTTCTCCCCCATAAGTAGTTTCCTTTAATCACTTCTTTGCGTTTCTATAGTTTTGTTTTCCAAAACCGTATACTTTTTTTTTCCATTAAGTTTATCGGTGTGTTTAAAGCAAACAATACAGTTACATTCATCATTGGGATCTTGTACCTTTACATGGTGTATCCTGCTTCTTGTTTTACCCATCCCCCTGCCCTCCTTTCACCCCTTTCTTGTCTATAAACTTGATGTGTCTTTAAAACCCTTCTAAATCCATGGGTTTCTCCTCTGTTCTTTTATTTCACTTTGTCTGTAAAGACCCACGACATATGACCTGTAGAACTGTTGCTCCTTTGTCTCTGTTTCTCCAAATTGTTATCTAGACCTGGAGCCTTGATGATTCCTTTCACAAGAACATATAAGTAGAGGCTGGGGCTTGAGTTCAGTGGCTCCGCTGCCTGCCTCACAAGTGCAAGGTCCCAAGTTCATTTCCCAGTATCAAAAAAAAAAAAAAAAAAAAAC